ACGCAAATTCTGCAGTACTGCTATCTCGTTTTGATGGTTGTCAAGCTCTTGGTTTCGGTCCTCTTGGACTTTCTTAAGAGTGAATAACAGATTTAACCACATTTATGATCAACACATTTACCCAAGCTGTTTATTTCAGTGTTGTCCAAATCTATATTACTGAAATTAATTCTCTGACCCTATTAAAGCTGAAAAGAATTTAAACACAGCCCACGGATTAGCACAATTCTGAAAGAATTCACTCCTTTCCTGCACCTCAAAAAAAAGAAAAACTCCAGCCAGGCATGGTATTGCACAACTTAATCACAGCACTCTGGAAGGCTGAGGCAGCAAGATCACAAGTTCCAGCCCAGCTTGGGTATCCTAGTGAGACCTTGTCTCAAACCAGTAAGTCTGGGTTGTAGCTCAGTGTGAAGGCTCAGGGTTCAATACCAGTACTACATGCAAAAACATTTCTCTGATTTTAATGAGGGAACACCAACAAGGAAATGTGAAACAAAAGATGAGTGGAAGTATATTTGCCTTGGTATCTGTGCCCATTCATTGGTCCCTTTCCTAACTGCTATCTCAGCAACGCCAGTGGTAATCAGCCCCCTGTTGTACTACCCCCACTCTTCTCCTGCTCAGCCTTTCCTGATAGTCTCTTCGGAACTCCCGACCTGTGGCTCACAGTGCCTTGCTACTGAAATTGAGACGACCGGAACCTCTCTGGGAACCTGACTCTCCTGGGGAAGCAAGATGAAAACTCACCCTTCCAACTGCTCACTGTGTCCTGCAGACCCAGACGGTTCCCACGCCTGCGCTTCCTGACACCAGCGTGCTCAACTCTTCCTTCAGCCCTGCATCGCACCCCCAGGTCCCTCGAGTAAACCTCCTCCACTTTACTTAGCAGGAGATGGTTTCTGTTGCTTATAACCAAGAATCCTAACCAATAACTTAGCTACTATTTTCCGAGACAATGAGTCAAAGTTATTCTTCAATCCTATGAACTCAAGGGCCAGCACTTTCCCTTTAAACCTGGAAACAGTCTTCAAGGGAGCTATCGTGATGTTTACCCGTGAAACAGAGAATGGGAAAGGTTAAGTAACACAGCAGGTAAACAATTTAGCCAGGATTTAAAGTAAAGTCTGACTGGGGGCTTACCCACACCAGCATTAATAACAGTGACCCCAAAATCAAAACTACTGTATCTGACCTTAATTCCAACACTATAAACAATAAATATAAGACTGTTCTTAAAAGGAATAATTGACAGAAGCTAGCAAAATTCTACCACGAAGTAAAATAATGACTACAATGAATATTTACAATTCATTTTGTCATTATCCTTTAACACTAAAATCTGGAATCCTCACCAAACTTGGAATTCTGTTGTAATTAAGTCAGTTTCATGAGCAACAACAGAGACATGAAATATGTCTTCCCGTTTATTTTGGAAATGGAGATATTTTAATGTATTTATTGTAACTTTGCAGTCCTGGGGGTTGAACCCAGGACCTCACTCTAGCCCAGTCCGCTAGCGCTTACCCACACCTGCAGACCATTTGATCTTGAGACAGGGTCTCATGAAGTTGCCCAGGCTGGCCTTGAACTTTCCATTCTCCAACTGCAGCATCCCAAAGAGCTGGACTAGAGGCGTGGGGCACCCAGAGAGATACTTTCATCTGTCTTTCTTCTCATGAGGAATAAAGATGATTCAAAACAGATAAAAATTGGATATCCTAGCATACAGAATCCCTTTTATGCCCGACACGTTTACTAATTTCAGCCTCCTAATGCACAGTCAGAGGCACAGCCAGCAAGGGCCACCAACATCCGCCTCACCTTGATGACGCACTGCAGTCTGCAGATCTTGGCCTGATCAGGGCTGTGCATTGCCTGGGCCTGACACGTTCAAAAAAGAGCATTAGAAAAGTAATGGCACAGTTCTCTTATAAAACAAAAGGTCATACACAGTATTAATAGCAGCTTTTCAAAAAATAGTCAGACAGATTCTGACTTATGAGTGCTGAGCCCAAGTTACAGACACCTAGTCTGGGACAGGACCACACACAGCACAGTGAGGACGCCAGAGTCAAGGATTTGCTGACTAATTGGAGAGACGAGTTTTACAAACTAAAGCTAAGATTTAAAAAAAAAGAATAGTTTACTTAGCTTTTAAAAATATAAATAGGATAATCAAACAGCTTTCTACAAGAAAATTTCTAGTTCCTAAAAATTTCTAAAATAATTTTAAAAATCTTTTTCTCAGTATAGAATAGTCCTTCATTTGACAAAATAACAGAATGCCTGGATTCTTCTCATTCAAAGTTGTATCTTTCTTTTCAAACCCTTCTTAACTGACACCTAGTAACGGTATACGGAGGGGCCACCCCATGAGGTAGTGCAGTTTACGGTGGCCGTTGTGTTATTTTCAAATCAGAGTAACTGATATTATCATCCCAAACATTTATCATTTCTTCATGGTGAGAACTTTCAAAATTCTTTCTTCTAGCTATTTTGAAAAACACAATACATCATTAGCTATAATCATCTTGTTGGGCAAAAGAACACCACAATTTGTTTCTTACATCTATTATTTTGTACACATTGACCAAATTCCCTGACCCTCCCTCCGCACTACCCACCCAAGCCTCTAATAAGCACTCATTTCTCTCGTTTACTAGGTAACAGGTCACTAGTTACTAGTCATGTTTACTAGATAACAGGCTAAGGGACCAAACGCTTCTCTTGAGCCAAAAGACAAATAGCACCTTGAAAAGAACACAGGACTTGGTGTTGAGAGAAGTGTGTTGGAATCACAGTCCCTGGGCCAGTGGGGAATAACTTTTAGTCTCCTTGTCTGCAAACAGAAGCAATGAATACTCCCCATAGCTATTAAGGGTGATATAATGTATGGAGGGATAATTTAGATGGAAGCATCTTACAAATAGAATACAAGTATTTATTTTTACTGTGACTTGCTAGAAATTAAGCTCCCTAAAAAGTCCAGTCATGCGTTTTTCACCTTTACATTAATACAGGTCCGTCATACACCAGGTACTCAAGATGTGCTGAAGCGAACATACCAAGCCCGGCCCCTTCCCTATAAAGTCTGACCCTAAGCAACGTTTCTTACAGTGTGTGGCTCAGATGGTCGGAATCCTTGGGAGTATTTACTTGCTGAATGCAGTTTCTAAACCCCTAAATCAAAACCCCATTATGGCAGGACATGAAATCTACAACTTTATTCAGGTCATTCTTCCAACAAAGTTTAAGAATCACAGCTTTTGGTGACAAGCAGGCCAGATGCCCTCTGTGATTGCTTTGAGCCCTGGGAGTGTGAGACAAGCAGGTAATTTGGATTGGTAAGATCTGTCCTTTTCAGAACTAGATTATATTCACAAAGAGCAAGATATTAACCTTTTTACTTAATACTTTGGATATTTTTTTCTTTCTTGTACTGATGAGGTGAAGTCTAAATGAATGATGCTCCAATTTATTCCAAGCCTCCTGTCTACTGACCAGCCCCACAGTCCATAAGATCTGATGTGAGTCATTGAGAGCGTGCCTTGGGAGAAAGCTTAGAGCTCCAAACAGGAAGTATTTAATTCCAAACGTGTGAGAACCAACACAAAGTAGTGTAACATGTTTTATAATATCAATTACCAGACTTTCATTTCACTGCCATTAGCGCTAACAAAACCTCAGACCTAATCCAAGGAAGCTCTTCACACACAGTTCCTTGGAGCTCTGGTGTCCCCACCGGAGAAGCCTCAGAGTTCCCAGGGGAAAAGGTAATGGCTCACCTCGAAAATGGCCTTGTTGCTCTATTTTTTTGAATTTCTTTCTAATTATTGTTCAGAAAAGCATACTGAAGATACTGAAGCCAAGAGAAAGGCAGCTGAACCACAACCCTGTAGCCACTGCTGAATCAGAAGCACAGCACAGGTTTCTACTCCCTTGTGCAGAAGCATCTCTGTTCCCGATCCTCTCCCTGTAGCGTCCTAGATGGAGGCATAAGTTCACTCACTCCTAGACATTAAAACTCACCCAGCTTTACCTACCTGGGCAATATGCCTCCAGTGGCCAACCTCAGATTCTAGTCTTGAGATCTCGTTTGACAATCCATTTATTTCCTGTTGTGATGACACGAGGTCGCCAAAGTCCATGTCGTTGTTGTAGAATGCAGCGCGATGGTGGAGCCCAGGACTGGTGGAAGGTGGCACAGCAGCTGCGTGTGCACTGCCAGCCCCCACAGGCACTGACGGAGCCACCGGCTGCATTTTCAGCAGCTCGTCCCGGAGCGCACTCTGTCTTACTTTAAGAAGGTTGATTTCCACCTATATACTTAACCCTAACCTCAGATAACTTCCTGCCTTGAATGTTCCCTCCACCTTCTTTCACTGGGGTTCATAATCTTCAGTCTATCTGTCTTCCCCTCACTGGTCTTGAACCCTGGGAATTGGCAATACCCGTCACTGTTTTCCCCAAGAGCTGTCATCTGAGGTCATATCTGGGAATAAATTTTGATAGTCACATGTATTCTAATCCCCCCAACATTCTCATATTTTATAAATTTTCTTTGTGCTGGGCATAGAATCAGAACTTACAAGATTAGGTGTGTGCTGCACTACTGTGTTACACCCATAGCTACACACATTCACAAATGTTGTACCTGTAAACACCATCATCAAATTGACTTTCTATTCTCCTAACACTGCACACTGAGGATTGGACTCCAACCTGAATTTGAGAAAGAACAAATCATATTTATCAGGGCAGATGCTGTGGAAAGTGCAAGGTGCAGACTGGGCACATTAAGATGCTCAAGAAATTGAGGTTGCTTTTGCATGATGTCAATCATTAGGGATGGGACATCATCATGGCCCCTTATTCAGGGTTTGGCTTTCGCTTCTCTGTCTTGCAGGACAATGTCATCATCTATCTTGAGGGGCCTCCTCCTATTGGCTGGCTTGTGCTCCCTTGTTCCTGGCTCCCAGGCTGTGGATCTTGAATATATGGATAGAACTTTTCATGACCATGAGCATCATGAATTTGTTGTCTGCCATGATATCTTCTACAATGTTTTCGACTTAGCCTTTGCCTTTTACTGGGAGCCGGCAAGGTGGTCAAAAACCAGCAACACCGTACTGTCCCCAGTCAGCATTGTAGCTGCTTTTGCCATGCTCTCCCTGGGGACCAAGGGGGCTACTCTCACACAGATCCTGGAGGGCCTGAATTTCAACCTGAGAATGATTTCTGAGGCTCATGTCCACCAATGCTTCCAGCCTCTCCTTCACATCTTGCAGCATCCAGACCACCAGCTCCAGATGATCATTGGCAGTAGCCTCTTTGTCAGTGACAACCTGATGCTCATGGATCAGTTTGTGCAGGGTATCAAGGAGCTGTACCACTCAAGAGTCATCTCCATCAGCTTCAGGAACACAGAACATGCCAAGAAAAAGATTAACAATTATGTGAAGAGGGAAACCCATGGAGAAATAGCAAATTTGGTAAAAAATCTGAAGGAAGACACAGCTCTTGCCCTGGTGAATTATATTTCCTTCCATGGTAAGGAGGGACCACCCAGCCCTAGGTGGTTTCTGTGAAATAATCCAATATGTGCCTAAAGGCCCACTGCTCATACTTACCTTGACACTCAGTGTAGAACAGGGGAGGGCATCCCAACATGGAATCTGTAATGTTCAACTCAGAAGCAATTCCATGAGCCAACAAGATTGAGGAAGGATGAGTTAATACCAGTCACATCTCCATGTTCTCTGTGGGACTTATGAACACTTTTATTGTGCTAATACCAATGGAAATACCAGAAAGAAAAGGGGCATAGAAAATGGAATGTTTCTCTAACTAGAGAAACAAAGATACAAATTGGAACAGATGGTGGAGAGAATGGTGTTTCATGGAACATAATTCAGGCAACTCTAGAGTCATGGAAGAGTGTCAACTTTGGAGTGTGTCTTAGTTAGTTTTCTGACACCCAAATTTAAAGGAGGAAATGTTTATTGTAGCTCACAGTATGTAGAGTTTTCAGTCCATAGTTGGCTGATTCTAAGGCAGGGTGGCATGGCAGATAGGCATCACAAAGGAGAAACAGTTCATGGTAGGCAGAAGGCAGCAAAGTAGCAAGCAGTAAGCAACCATAGCAGCCCTCTTTCTGTCCCTAATATTGTTATCCAGGCTATGTGCCCATAGGGTAGGTAGCACACTCAGGGATGGGCTTCCCATTATCTATTCCCAGAACTATGTCAAACCAATCAGTGGACTAATTTAGTAATCACACAACCTTTCTCCCAGCTTCACACACTCCAGATGCAGCCACATCTGGAAAGCCCCAGCTATGACCACATGAGGCTTTGAGGTGACATCTAGACACAAGCCATAATAGAGTGTGAAAGACATAGGTTCAAATCATGCCTCTACCACTCATTAGTCTTGATATCAAACAAGTCATTTCACTTCTTGGAGGCTGCATTTCCTTATTTTATTGTGGGCAACAAACAAAAAACACTGTCAGGTTTTCAAAGTTACCTTAATACATGGATCTGGATGCAAATCCATACCCTTGTTATCAAATGTTGAAAGAATTAATCAAGTTTCATAGTATGTGGGGGACACAGAACTGAGCAACAAGCCTTGATCCTCAGCCTGCCTTTCTGCCTATGAGCAATGAGAGGATCAGGAACCCATGGGCCCCAGTTCTATGGTAGCTTCCACAGCCCCAGGGAACAGCCTGGGGGAAGCAGGCGGGGCTCAAAGCCAGGCCTGGGGCTCTGCTCCCTGTCTCCTCATTCCTGGGCAGAGTTGGACTGTGCAGAGCCCCCAGGCCACAGTCAGCACAACTGAGGTTCCAGCTCTGCTGTGACTTGGGGCACTTCCTGTGCCCCTCCATTCCAGTGAGCCCTGTCCAGTGAGAAGGTGGGTTCAGGGGTCCCAGAGTCACCTGCCCACCCTGACAGCCCAGAAGTGAGGCACTCTAGTCCAGCAGAGGCAAGGTGGCCTGTGTCTCTGCACTTCACATGTGGTCCAGGAAGAGGCCTCAGGGGTAGAACCCAGAATGTCTGTCCTGACTGTGGACTGAAGCAGCTTCTATAAGGGACAGGAAACCTCCAGGAAAGAGGTGCCCACATGTGACTTAGGGACCTCTGCTTATGCCAGTCACTTTCATTGCAACCTTGGTCCTCTAGCAAATAAATATAAAATCTAAATAAAGATGCTTCTTCTTTGGAGCCAACCCAAATTACCCTGAGTAAATCCAAATTTCAGGGTCTCCTCCTGCTTCAGATTATTTCCATGAAGCCCATCAGCCAATGCTTGTCTTTTAATCCTCTTCACAGAAGACCAAGGTGAGTCTCAGAGGACATTGTCTCAGGAGGACACACAGGGCTCCATTCTTCTGACACATTTTCTAAACCTTAAGCCCACCCCTGCTTGGTGTCTCTCTCTCTCCAGGCAAATGGACTGTTGAGTTCCAGGCTGAATACACTGTGGAAGAGGACTTCTGTGTAGATGAGGGGACAAGCATCAGGGTGCCCATGATCAATCGCCTGGGTATGTTTTTACTGAACCGGGAAGAGGAGCTGTCCAGCTGGGTGCTGGTCCAGCAGTCTGTCAGTGATGTCATGGCCTTCTTCTTCCTGCCTGACCCAGGGAAGATGCAGCAGCTGGAAAAATGACTGACTCAGGAACGCTTCAATAGTATCCTCAGAACTACTGAGAAAAGGTAAATCCTCAGTTCAGGAACCCACCTAGGATTTCTGAGCCATGTCAAGATGGAGGCCCTTCAGGACTGGCCAGGGGGCTGGGGAAAGTTGACCCCACCCCCTTAGCTCACAGCTCCTGGGAATGGCCCTGTGCTTCCAAAAGGACTCAGTGCTCAATCCCATTAGCATTGGCCGGGCTCAGTGCAAGGGTCAGTGACCAGGGGACAGCAGCACAGATCCTGGCCTTGGGGTGGTCCTTTTCCACCATGGACCATGGCACTTCCCATCACCCAGTGCACAGCGGCAGGGCAAGAAGGATGCACATGTTATGTCAGGATAAAGAACAAGCTGGTGGCCCCCAGGCAGAGATGGCAGCTTGGTGTGGTATCCAGGAGGGACTGTCCTTGGGTGGAGAGCATTGGATCATGCGTGGAAAGGCCCAGAACAGGAAACAGCCAGCACTGCGAAGTCCAAGGCAGTTTGCTGAGTGCCTGCTCTTCTCTCACTGCTTCAGTGTGGTTTATTGGATCCCAGGAGCCAATAGTCCTCAATCTGCCCCACAGAGTACATTTGTCATCAAGAAAGAGCCCATGCCCAGGTGTCCTGTGCAATTATGCATCTCATGGAACAAACATAAAGGTGTACACAGGTGTGAAGTTAACTGTGAATAGAAGTGTCACTACTGTTTTCCCCCAGCCTCCTCCAAAAGAGCAAGGTCAGGCTGGGACCTGTTGCCTCTGCACAGGTCTACTCAGCCTCGCCTATACCCCAAGGAAACCAGAGCAGTCTTTCACCTGGTGAGGGCACTCTCGTCTCCTCACCAAGTGTTTTCACTCAGCCCCTGCCACACTGACCCACACTCCCCTGGGAGTCAGGCCCTTGAGAGCCCCTGGCTGGGAGAAAGGTGACCACATGCTACAGGACAGGATGGCATCCCCTTCCTGGAGGGCACCTTGCATCTGCTGAGGACTACTTCAAGGAGGTGGCTTCTCAGGGGCTGTCAGGACAATATGGTCCCCATGAAGTTAACGTTCTCCACACCAAGTACAGAGGAAGATCAAACTCTGACAAACCAGCGCAGCTTCTCATCTTGTGTGGAGGAGGCAGGGCACAACAGGAGATACAACCAGAAAGGACACATGCTGGGGCCCAGCAGAACATGAGAAATGCTCTGAATTTCCTTCCTTTTCTCTCATGCCTACCAGATTTGCCAGGATTCATTTCCCCAGACTTTCCATTTCTGCAACGTATGATCTGAGGAGCATTCTGAGCGCAATGGGCATCACCAAGATCTTCAGCGATGAAGCTGACCTCTCAGCGATGACGGAGGTGTCATCCATCAAACTCTCCACGGTGAGGTCACCTGACAACAGCACTGTCCCCAGTGTCTGTAGAGCAGAATGAGTTTTGGGGTGCTGCTCAGACATGTGGCTCAGTCAGGAATCAAAGGACACTGACAAGGTCTGGGCTGAGCTCATTCCCAGGATACAGGAATTAGCTGGGACAGGGCAGATTCAGAAGATGGAATAAAGAAGGTGGCTTCCTGTGCTGCTGGCACCACAGGAACCTCCCCTGAGGTTCTCACTAACCCTCAGTCTCATCTTTTTTAGAGCTATTGGGTCCTTGGGCCTCAGTTGATCCATATTTACACAAAGAGGCTTGGGGTTATTGACTTCAAAGAATATTCTGGACCCTTTCACCTATGAGAATTAGAGCTGTTGGTGAAACACCATCTCTGAAGTATGAGTGAGTTCAGCCAAAGAGGCCAATGGCTCAGAAAATGGACCAGGAGCAGGTGTAGATCAGTGCAGGCTGTGTACTCATGGGGTCTGGGCACTGAGAAGGTCACCAGCAGAGTCCTTATCCTGGGAGCTCATCACCATACACTGGAAAGGGGACACTTGTGAGAGGACCTGGCCTCCACATAGCCGATCCCTTCTAAACATGAAGGTTGTAGCTGGGATGTGAGAGATGGTGTTAGGAAGGGAGCAGAGGACAGCAGGCCAGGCCAGGCAAAGGCTGAGAGTGAGGGAAATTTCTGGTGTGACAATGCAGGGAGGGGACTGAGGTCAGGGAGGAGAAGGAAGGTCCCGGTGAGGCTGCCCAGGAAGAAGCTCTCACTCAGGCCTTGCTCCAGCCTGTGGTGGGGACAGCACAGCCTCAGTGCCTGACTCTGCCTCCCTCCCCTGCAGGCCATGCATAAGGCGATGCTGACCATTGATGAGAGAAGGACAGAGACCCGAGGGGCTACTGATTTGGGAGATAGGGACTGGTCAAAGGTCCCCACCATCAAGTTCAACAGGCCCTTCATTTTCATCATCAGGGAGGAAAACACCAACATTCCGCTCTTCTTGGGGAAAGTGGTGAATCCCATAGAGCAGTAACTGCTTCAGTCCCTCCTTGGCCCCTCAGGAAGGTCCCCTTCCTGCATGACATTAAAGAGGTGCTGATCTGGCTTTGCCTATGTGTGACCCACTAATTCCTCCCCCTGTGTCTGAGTCTCCCTTTGCACCTGAGGTCATGAGTAGACCAGGTCACAGCATGTCTTGGTGTCCCTGCACCTATCTGTGAGGGGTCCTGTGCTGTGTAGACTGTGCTGGGAAGGGCCACTGTGTCTGGCACCTCATCCCACAGGCTCTGGGCCCCTCTATGTTCAAAATGTGCAATCCTGCTTGGAAATCATGAGGGGAATGTGTGGCTCAGATGCCAGCCCAAGGCCCATGATTCAGCAAGTGTCTTCCTTGTCCCTGAGTGAATTCACCCCCAACACACACAACCATCACTGTCCTCACTTTAGCGCCCCCTGCTGGGCGGTCAGGCCCACCCTGCTGCCCCTCCTGCTGCTCCCAGAGCTACCTGCTCTCCACCTGGCATGGAGCTGCTACATCTCCAGCCACACAAGGGGATGGAACATGTCCCCTTCTCATCACACTTTGTCACCTCTCCAAGGCTGGCTCCTACATCCCACAGGGATGAAACCAGCAGAGCTAGGCTGTCTGTGGACCCCTTGCTCCAAGGGCTGGATGAGACAGTGACCTCAGTTTTTGTCCCTCTATCACTGCCCAGGACCCTCACATGTCTCCTGTTAGGAGCAGCCCCCTCTCCCCTATGCAGGAGGGGCTCGGGCTCCAGCCTCTGTCCCCTCTCAAACTCTCCACCAGGCCCAAGCCTTTACCCTGTTGTGAGAGACTGCTTGGGCCTGCACAAGATGGCTGCCCTCAACCTTAGCCTTTGCCTCGGTGGAAAAATCCCACTAGACTACATACGTGACTTTTGGCAGGTCTAGCCCCTGGGCAAACAGGAAATCTTACAGAAAGAATAGCCCTTTGTGCTAACCACAGGGTCACGGGATCTGGAGCAGGAAGCAGGTGGTATTTCCTTGTCCTGCTTGCCCCTAGAGATTGTGAAGTTAAAGATCGCATAGGGTTAATTGTTGATGTACGCCTTCCCACTTACCCCTCCCCACATTTGGTAAAATACTGATTGCTGTATGCTGATAAATGCTTTGTCCCTTTATGGTTAAATGCTTGAATGACTCATGTGATTGGTAGAGGATTTGTTTGAACTGTCCAATAAGCTTGCTGAACCTTCCCCCTGGGATAACAGTATATAATCGTTTTGCTGAGCCAATAAAGAGCCTTTGATCAGAAACCAGACTTGGGCCGTGTACTCTAACTTCTTAAAGATTTCCTCCACAGACATTCAAGATCAGATCGGCCTCTGATGACCCACGAATAAGAGGCGGCTCTCACCTCCTATTCCCCGCGGGACGGGGTCCCCCCAGAGAGCCACACCCTGTGTCTGCTTCTCCTCCCTGGACATGTGGCTATGGTGCTGGAGGTGGCTCTGGGAGTCACCACCAGGACTCCTAGACTAGGGAGGAAGGACAACACCTGTCGCTCTCCAGGCCTCTCCCTGCCTGCTCCTGGCCGGGTTCTTCCTGGGGCCACATGTGCCTGGCTCTCCCTCCATGGCCTCCCCATTGTCTCCCAGGGACAGCCACCAGACTAGTGACGTAGCAGTAGACTGTCCTGGGTTGGGCCTTGTCATAAGGCCAGGCTGCTCTGACCTGGCTCCAAGGCCCTGCTGAAAGGGCTGCAGCACCAGAAGCCCACCGGGCCTGGCAAAGGTGCCTGCTGCCCGGGCTCTCCCCGGCCTCCGTGACCTTGAAAGCACTGCCCCTCCCACATCAACCAGGGACCACCGCTTCCCATGCAGAGTGACAGAGTGACAGAGACGTAGAGCACAAAGTTGAATCATAAATTGGCACTTTTTAGGTCAAATCATCATGTGCTTGCAAGTTCACACGATTCAGTCTAAATAACAGTACCAGCCGTTTTCCCTACTCTTGAATTTTCCTTTTGCGAACCTCCACCCCCATTCACGTCCTTAGCGCCGCGCCTCCCTTCACCCTCGCAGCAGCGACCCTCAGAGCTCTGAAGACTGAATTCCGCTTCCCACAGCGCCACCTGCCGGTTGTGTAGCCTGAGGGACGGAGACTCGGATTCCGCGCATCTCCAGACCCACGAGCTGGCACTGTGTGGGGAGAAGCGGACTCGAAGGCCGGTGAAACTCCTGAGGCTCCTTGGGAAGGACAAAGAAGGCCGAAAGCTGCGCTCTCACCTTTGTCGTTTTACTTCGGCCATGATGCGTACAGACCCCTTGGGAGACGCCCACATCCGACAGTTTAAAGCCCTAGAAGGGTCTTAGCTAGCAGAGTGGTAACAAATCGGATCCTCCATCAACGCTGTGCCTCGCCTTTCCTCTCTCCTTCTCCTGCTCCCCTTCCTCCACCCTCTTGTTTTCTTCTTGTTTCTCATCTTTCCCATTAAAATTTCTTTTGTCCTAAATGTGTCTTCTCTGTCATCAGAGCCCCCTGTTCATCCCACACAGGGCCGGTAGAGGGAGCCAGAAATTAGCCCTTGCTGGACGCAGCCCTGAGGTTTGGGGTTTTGTGGCTGCAGCAAAACCCAGCCCGCCCCATGGGTGCAGCCAGAGCTCCTGAAAGCTACTCAAAGCCTCCTCATCCGGACAGGATCTAGGGAGCACAGGGAAGGCAGGAGGAGCGACAGAGGGAACCCAGCAGGAAGTTATGTTAGGAGGAGCTCAGCCATGAGAGTCAGCTGGAGAGGATGAGAGCAGGGCCAGTCGCTGCCATGGGTCTCTGCCCTTAAGAGTCAACACTCTAGAGCTCGCCACCTGGGATTCTCTGCAAACGGAGAATCTGACACAATAAGAACCCGGATGTGTATATTTGTAGGGCTGGGGACCAGCTGTGAACCATGTGCACCCGAGGCAAGCACTCAACCACTGAGTCACATATCTAGCCCTTATCACAATCTTTTAAATTATTTTCACACAGACATGGTGAACAAACCATATTAGAAATATGAATTAAGTTAAAAGTATTTTCTAAGTTGGTAATTATTAAAAGCCTCAAAATGTGTTCTGAGATGTAACAGTGTCATTGGTTTTTATTTTCAGGGTGACTTTTAGCATTTGGATATTAGATTTAATTGCTAAAGGAAGTATAACAAAATAGAAACAAGAATCCTTGAGCCCTCTACTTAAACAGGATATCTGGTGTCCCTGGTCTGTTTCCTTAACTGCAAAATGGAATACTGCACCTAATTCATAGGTCTCGGGCAGAAGAATGTGCCACTCTGTGGGTGTGTCTCAGTGCCAGTGCTTAGTGGGCTAAATAAGGATTAAGGTTACAAAGTTAAGCTTAGCAGTGCAAGCTTCCTGTGTCTCCTCACATAATGACAGAAAATTAAGGGAGGAGAATTTTGCTGACTTGTGCACTTTGCAGCCAAGGACCACAGTGTGCAGATGGCCTAGAGCTGGTTCCACTGGATGAAGCCAGGTCAGGGAAGGACAGCGAAAGCCTCAGTTGACAGAGGACCAGGTTCTGGAGGTGCCCAGCTCACATCCTGCACAGAGTATCCCTGGTCACAAGAGAACTGAGTGTCCCCAAGTCTCAGTCTGCAAATCCCCAAGGCCTGAGAGTGTGTAGGGACAGTCGGTACTGCAGGTCCAGCCACAGCCTCTCGAAGCCTCCCACAGCCTGCTCAGTAAGTCCTGCTCCAGCAGCCTCAGCTGCCAGGGTGGGTGCTGTGAGCTGCTTCTACTCCATACAGGGAAACTGAGGCACAATGCAGCTGCTAGGGCTGGGCCAGGACCTGTACACAGGCAGCTGTACCTTAGACATCCTTCTGGGTAGAGTGGAGGGTGGGTAAAGCACTCACCCTGCAGCTCCCAGCATACAGTGGGCCCAGAGGGTGAGCACTGGGGAGGGTGCTGGCGTACTGCCTCTTCCTCCTTGTGGCACCTCCCAGGCCTGGATGGGCCATGCACCCCCGGGGCCCCCTGGCCTCCCCCTGAAGAGAGCTAAGGAGCAGCCTGGACAGTGCTGGCCTCTACCTTTTTCTTCTCAACTAGGTCCTGAAGAATCTAGATTGAGCCAGGACCAAGACTTTGGCTCCTAGGTTCCCTGTCTCCAGCTTCCTTAGAGGAGAAAGAAGGCCCTTTTGGCTCTATCCTGTCAGAGCATGTTTCCCAGAATTCCAAAGGACAGTCTAGGGATCCCCCACCCCCACCTATGCTCGCTGAGCCCCTTTCCCCGGGGACCCTCTGCCCTTGATCTCCTGGTCAGAATTCCCAGTCAACAAGAAAGCAGTGTGTTCATTAACTCCTCAGATAACCTGCCTGCCCCTTGCATCTCCATTTTTCTTATCTGAGTTCATAGCTTCATGTTTTATCTGTCGGCGCCTTACTGATTCCCTGACCGATGTCCCTCACTCTGTAGCTCACCCGATATGAAAAGAAATTATTTCCAGATAGAGCCAACAATGCCAGGAGGGGGACTGGAACACCTAACTTAGTATTAGAGATTCACAGAAGAGAGACAGTCAAAGAGGACATTGTCAAGGCAAGGACAAGCCAGGTGTTCAAACATGGGGCAGTCTGGAGAGTCCATGGCTTACATGGGCACAGTGCATTGCAGTGTAATAGGCTGATGTTCAAGGCAAACAACATTCAGACCCCTGGAAGGATCAAACATGAAAATATAAAAAACATAACTGTTCAAGAAATTTCTTGGCCAGGGCTTTAGCTCAGAGGTTCAGTGGCCTGCCTCACAAGCACAAGGACCCAAGTTCAATCTCTGGTACCAAAAAAAAAAAAAAAAAAAAAAAAAAAAGAAAAAAAAAAAAAAAGAAAAAAAAAAAAAAAGAAAAAAAAAAAAAAAGAAAAAAAAAAAAAAAGAAAAAAAAAAAAAAAGAAAAAAAAAAAAAAAGAAAAAAAAAAAAAAAGAAAAAAAAAAAAAAAGAAAAAAAAAAAAAAAGAAAAAAAAAAAAAAAGAAAAAAAAAAAAAAAGAAAAAAAAAAAAAAAGAAAAAAAAAAAAAAAGAAAAAAAAAAAAAAAGAAAAAAAAAAAAAAAGAAAAGAAAATAAATTTCTTCATTTCAAGTAGATCAAGCTTCTACAAAGAAGACCAAAACAACCAGCAATCACAAAAGCAAGCAGTAGTATAATTTACATTAGCAAATGTAAACAGTGTTGGGAGAAAAAGGAAAAGAAACAGAGGTACAAGCTCAACAGGACAGGTTTATTTCAGAAAAACCTGAGAGGGACCGATCTGGCACTAGAGCCCACACCAGCTAACTCTTGTACCAGATAAAAGGTCTTTATAGGGTCATGAGTACAAAAAAGGGGCGCTAGGAAGGAAAGGGGAACAGGGGGACTTTGCAGGGTTCAGTCCCAAAGAGTTGTGGCTATCCCTCCGGGACAGGGTTTGAGGGTGTAAAAGGCCTTGTGTTTGTCAAGGACAGGGCTGAACAATGATCGGAAATTACCCATAACTGTTACATCTGCAGCAGGTGTGGAGGTAGAGCAGGGGAAGGGATTGAGTATGGTCTCTGCTCAGACCAGGATGCCAAGGGTTGGGTCCCTTCAAACAGTACAGGAAAAAAAGCGCCATTAAATTCACCGAGAAAAATAACAATTATAAATATATATGCACCAAACACTGGACTCCCTAAATATATGGAGTAAACATGCAGTAAACAGAATGGACAAATAGACAGCAGTGCCGTAACAGTAAGAGAACTGAACACGATAATAGATAATCAATAATCAATACAGCAATCAGACAGAAGATCAGTAAGGAAGCTGAGACCTAGACAACACTGTAGACCAGTTGGCCCTGAAGAACACACAGACCACTCCACCTGGCTACAGCATAAACACATTTTCACAAGTACACAGGATCCCTCTCGATGACAGGCCACATACTAGGTCACAAAACGAGTCTCCTGAGATTAAAAAAAAAAAAAATGGAAGTAAGAAAAAAACATCTTCTGATCATGATGGAATAAAAAAAAATTAATGGAAGAAAAACTGGAAAATCAACAAATTCAGAAAAATCAGTCTATTAAGCAACCAATAGGGCAAAGAAAATATCATAAGGAAAATTTTAAAAGTCTTAAGACAAGCTAATGTGAAAATCCAATGAAACAAAATGTACTGGATATAGGTAGAGCAGTGCTAAAAGGGAAATTTTTGACACTCTCAAATCAACCACCTAAGGGTCACAGCTTTAAGAACTAGGGGAGAACAGAACTGACTAAACCCCAAAGCTAGTAGGACAAATTAGCTTAAAGATTAGAGCAGAATCTATAAAATTTAATGGATAACATGAATAATAGAGGATAACATAAAAACAACAGTGAATAACAGAGAAAACTCAATAAAACCAAGAGTTGTTCTTTTAAAAAAAAGTTGACATACTTTCGTTAGATTGAATAAGTGAACAGAAGAATTCATACCAAATTTCTTCATATTCTCCCGAACACTGAAGAGGAGGAACCACTTTCTAACAGAGTCTATAAAGACGTAATTACCCTGCTGGCAAAGCTAAACAAAGACATAACAAAAGAAAACTAGAAATTGATTTCATTTTTGACACAAAAATCCTCAACAAAGTACTGGCAAGCAGACTTCAGTGTTAAAAGGACTACCCACCATGAGGAAGGGAGATTTATCCCTAGAATGCAATCTTCACTTATATATATAAAGATCAATCGGTGAAGATACCATATTCACAGAATAAGGAAGAAAACACACATGATTATCTCAATTGATGCATAAGAAGCATTTGACAAAATTGAACACCATACCATGATTTCAAAAACAGTCAATAAAATAGCAATAGAAACTGTCTGAACATGAAAACCCCATATATGAGAAACCCACAGAAAACATTACACTCAGTGGTAAAAGACTGAAAGGTTTTTTCTATGATGAGAAGCAAAGGAAAGGATTCCTACTTTCACAGAGCTAACATACAACTGTTAGAAATAATAAACAAATTCAGCCAAAGTGTAAGATACAAAATCAACACAAAAAACTCAGTTGTTTCTGCACATTAATAATAAACAATTTAAAAGGAAATTAAGATTTCCATTTACATCACCAGAGGGGGAAAATAAACTTTCACCAAAGAGTCATAAGACGTTTACACTGAAAATTACAAGAAAATTCCGTGTTCATGGATGGAAAACCTGAACTATTTTAAAATGTCACTACCACCCAAACCAATATACAGATTAGTGCATTCTCTGTCAAAATCTCACCTGAAAAGTCCATCCTGAAATGCTTATGGAATATCAAGAGACCCCCAAATAGCTACAATAGTCTTGAAAAAGAACA